GCCACAAATCAGTGGAACACCTTGCCTGATGTTGTGAGGAGCTGCAGCTCTGTCAGCACTTTCAAAATCACCCTAAAAAAATCTGTTAAAAGCTGCTCAGCTCTGTAATCACTGACTTGGTCTTCAGAACTTGGTTTTTGGTGTGTGACATTTATGTTTGAGCTGTACATTGTCCCTTTTAAATAAAGAAAAGAAAAAAAAAAGAAAAAAAATGGAGGAATATAAATATTAGAGTTAAGTCAGTCTACATTTTACCAACAGGTAAGTGCAAGTATGAAGTAAAATGACAGTATTATAGTTATTAAAGATTTGTAACAATAGAAATGTGGACTTTTACATAAGAAAAGTCACACATTTTGAAAAAAAGAAATTAAAAAATGGATAAATAAAATTAGATAAAAGGTTTGTAGTAAAGACCTCACAAATTTAAGTCTATTTAAAGACTTTTAACTCCTTATTGTTGACTTTTTAAGGACCTGCAGAAACCCTGATTACTGTAATCACATTATATTTGCCAGTGCTGCAATAAAGTAACATGTTACTGTTCCTAAATTCAATAATCACATTACAGTTACCAATCAAACAATTGGGTGGACTAACCACAATTTTAGGATCTCCTCCTCATGAGGTAAATCATGCTCTGATCATGCTTTAGTTAAAAACTTGCCAATAAGCTGGACTCGTCTGCTATAAAGCCTTGGTTTGGTGAACAAGTGACCTGAGCGAGCATGTTTGGTGCAAATTGCCGTTCATATGCTATTCAAATGTTTAGGTCTGTTATCATCTCATGGTGTTAGAAAGGCTAGTCTCTCCTATTATTTTATTTAGGCAGATAGATTATTTTGAGGCTACTGAAGCGACACTTACCTTTATGGAAATTTTTACGCTTTTCTTTGTTTATGTTAAAATGCTCTTAATAAGCTGATGGCACACTAAAATGTAAGTGAATTCCACCAGAGATAAGAACTCATAATTGTACCATTCTCATATGGTTCTAAGAAAACTCCGACCAATCATTGCATTTGGACCCCCCGCGCTGGACAGGTATCTTTAGTTTGCCTCTAAAGTAACATAGGCTATAACGTTATATATGACAGTTGCTAACGGTTAGCCTACTGTAGCCTAACGTTGCCTGAGCCTCAGTATTATCTTCCTTGTTTGTTGCCAGTCACCACTACTATCTAACGTTAGCGCTTACGTTATATTATAAATCTCATCAGTCATCGCTGACCCTGGATAAGTTTCAAAACTCTGGGGTTGCGTCTGACTGTGCAGGACAGGTAACATTATGTTTAGTTTGCTTCTAATATAACATATAATGTTATATGACAACACAGCATCCAGTTGCTAATGGCTAACGTTAGCAATCTTCAGCGTGTTTTACTCCTCTTCTCTTCTACTCTTCTCTTCGCGTGTTACAGTGCTCTCCTCTTCCGTGTATCTAACGTTACCTTGCCAACGCCTACGTCTATCATAGAAGTAATGAGGAGGAGGAGGGGGGAGTAGGCCTTTGGAGGGAGGTGGAGCTGCAGGAGGAGGGGGATGGGACTTTGGAGGGAGGCGGGAGTTTTGGATGTTCAAATGGTGTGTTGTGTGAAATGCAAGAAAGGTAAGAGTAGCTTTAATATTTGTTCTTGGCAACCGCTTTTATATTGTTTCATGTAGTGTTATAGTTTTTTTCTGAGGCAGTTACAGCCAGCTGCCAGTGCCATCTTGATTCTCCTTACATATGTGGGCATATGTAAGGTTTAACATTAGTAGTGTAAGAAATTACTTTCTACAGGGAGTAATTACGCAAAAATAATGCATTACTTTCTTTTTTGAAGTAATGGGTAATGTGTAATGCATCCTTTTTTCTTTAAAAATAAACAACCCTGACACTGATGAGAACGATTTTTTGTAGGTTTTTGATTTGAAATACAAAACATGATCTGGTCCTAGCTTGGGTAAATTAAGCTCGAAAGTCATCTTGAACAAGAAAGTCGTCTAACTCATCTATTTGTGAGTATCATTTTCCCAGTATGTTGGATCCTTGCTTTTTCTGAGGCTCGAGCACAAAGTAAAGAGTAAGATCAGATTATGCTGACCTCCATCACTGGAAGCTAATGTCTCAAACCACAGACGATGATCGATAATCAGGCAATTGAGACGGCGGAAGAGCAATGCGGACATCAGAACAAAGGCAGAAAGTACAACGTAGGACTGTTTAGGAGAATCTCAGCAGCAGGACTCTATGATAGTCATTATAAGGACAAGATCCGCTGCTGTCACATTATTCAGCTCGGCAGCTACTTATTTTGTCAGCCATAGAAAACATCAGAGCCCCTGCCTGCCTTGCAGACACACCGACAACAACTGACTCCAACTCTTCTTTTAAACACGCAAACTGCAGAGTTTCCAAATGCATCCTGCCCACTTCACCCAGCCAGAGGGCTTTTTGCATGCATTATTTACAGTTAGCTTTATAACAAACTGAGTATCGATCCTGTGCAGTTTGAGTGACTCATGACCACTTAGCAAATACCTGCAGCAGGGTTACAAGGAATACAGGAACAGATTTAACATTATCTGGTCTGTACAATTTTCTAAAATGTGGAAACAGTATATATGCTCTCTGTAATGCAGCTGTACTGTGTGAGGCTGACCTCAGTTTCCAAGTTGTGTATTTATGCTGCCAATGCCATGCTTACTGTTAGAAGATGAGCTAAACCTCTGCTGAGTCCTCACACTCAAAAAAGTAGCAGCTCCATGGCTTATCTGATAAATTATTAGATTGATTAAGTATAAATTGAACACAGTTGAATTTGCTTTTTACTTTATGGGTAGCTAATACTAGTTCACCCCTTTAAAAACATTGTTCTGAGGGGATATTAACCCTGAATCATTATTTCTCTGATTTTCTCTCACTACACTTTTCCAATTTTACATCCCGTTGCTTTTATGATGAAAAATAGCTGCGTACACAACTCGAAAAATCTTAAGCAATACATAAAGGTACACAGTTGTAGGGAGAATCCAAAAACAAAGTTAACATCGGCAATCACAGGTACATTTACTTACTTACTGACACGTTTCAGCTATAAAGCCATTGTCAGCGTGACAGATCCTGGATGCTTTTACTCATATCATCCTTTGATGAAACTCAAAATGGCACAATCTGTAATTCCAGCATTATTTTAAAGTAACGCAGGTGGGGTTCTGTGTAGTATGTGTCCCTTTTTTTTTGCCAAGACAAAGACTGTGGGTAAATTCATTCAACTGACACTTTCAGTTCCAGATTGCTCATCTGTCACCAGTGAACGGTGAAGAGGGCTTTCACTTTGTAAAGGTGCAAGAGCAGCATTATCTGGAATTTCGCAATGCATGTGTCCATGATCCCATCCAAACATCTTTTATCAGATATAAAATAAAGTTTGAATAATAATTTGTGTCTGATGCAGGTTTTTTTCTGCAAAAAAAGTTAATTTGCTTTTTAAAAACTCAAGTTTCCACGTCACACCTGTGTAAGTTAAATACTGGACCATGATTTGCTTCCAAATCAGTTATGTCACCAAATCACACTTGTAGGTACATGCCTTAAGCTCAAAGGTGAGAAAATGTCTCCCCTCAGCAGATACATGTGAAAACAGTTTTCTATTGTCACGCTCTGCACATATCATTCTGCACAGTGGGGGTCAAATATCCATGTGAAGTCACAAAAAGCAAAACACATCTTTGAGTGGATGGGAGCTTGATGTGATGGCAACACTCTCACTACTGAAAAACAAAAGGAAGCATCACTTAGTCTAATAGTAAACTTCCTACCACATATCACATTACACACAGCTTTAGAAAATGGACTCACTCAACTGACTGACTACTTCAAAAAGAGATCAAAACAACTGGAGTTTAAACCATTAACTCCTCCAAATTTCTTTTTAAAATGCACAACTACTGGCTTGAGAGATGATGTACAAAGACAATGTTGACTGTGTCCAAAAAACATCTCTTGGGTTGTGTGTTGGAGTGCAGAGACTCCTAGTGGTTTAAACCTGGCCTGGCCCAGCCTGCTGGTCACCCAACTGGCATGACTGACCACTCCAAGCATACCAAACAGAACACACACATACCAGAGCGCGCACACACACAAATGCACCAAAATAACAGCATCCACTCAGCTCAGAAAATGTGCAACATAAACATAACTTCTCCTGAGTGATCACTGTACGCATAGTAAAATGCAAAATGCTGCTCGTGAAGACACACACACACACACACACACACACACACACATACACACATATAGTATATATTTCATATATACACAGTAGCGATCACAACTCAAATTTGGATGTGGATTATGCAGCGTTTATTGAAACCCAGCACGAGGAAGATGATGTTTTATGAATTCAGAGTATGAACTGTGATACCAAATGAATGCATATTCAAGTTCTCCTCTATTAAGTCAGTAATGGAGTACCAGCTATTTATAAAATGCAGTATTTGTCCTGTGGTGCACCACAAACTAATATCATCACAACCTATCACTCACCTTTTCAGCATGTGCCTCGAACCCCTGTGCTTCAGGACTGGCACAGTGTCTCCTGTGACAGCACAGCCTTCACACCCTGAAGAATCAAGTGCCTGTGCCCACAGTGCGCGTCCGCAATGCTGACCTGCCACCGGCCGGCTGGCTAAAAGACTAAAAGCTTCACAATAGTGTCCAACTCACAAAGCCCTGTTTGTGTCTGGCGTTGTTTGTCCAATAAAAGCAAACAATGGCATTCCATGGCTTGCAACTGTATTCACTGCTGGCCTCTCCAAATGTAAAGCGCATTCAGACACCTTGGTTGGCGGACAAAGCAGTGAATCTGTGTCACATGTGGGGTGGGAGGGCCAGGGTAAATGGGGTGACAGTGAGGCCAGTCCCACTGTATCTCTGCTCTATGAGCCCACCGGCATACCATGCATACCCACACTCCTATAGGTAAAGGTGAAGAGTAGTCAGAAAGCAGACTTACCTGATCTTGTCCGCTGCACTGTCAGACCTGTACGAAAAATAAGAGGAGGGAGAATTCAGTCATGGGATACTGAATCCCCTACCACTGATCTCAATTCACTTTTGATTCAGTATAGACTGACTAAGCAGTATATAAACAGCGAACAAACGGTTTAGAACAAATTTATGAATAAAAAATTAAATCATTTTAAGCAGATATTAAGACAGTTTTTAGTGTTTATCACTGTCACACCACCTATGAAGCATCCATTACTGGTATAAAAATAGTTAATGTATGTTTGATAACCTTATATAAGCTAGCATTAATCATATGTACTGATATGAGCACCTGAAAGAATCAAATGTATGAATAAACAGTTGGTCATTATTTATAATGCACTGTAAGGTTTTGTTTGTGTCTATAAATTTGTATCATTACATATGAATAAAAATGTGTTATATACAGTAATGTTACCAAGCACTTATTAACTGCTTCTAATGAAGTTACAGATGCTAATGAGAAGAAATTCTAATCACTGCCAAATAAATTAATAAGCGCTTAAAAATGTCCTTATAACTACAAACAACTATGTCAAAGTGTTTTGTAGTCTTTTGCACACAAGTGTTATTACAGCTCGTAATACACTGCTCCATTCTTGGCTTCTTTTGGTCGATATCGACATGATCCCACCAACCATTATTATACAGATGACACTGATTTATTTAACAGTATCACCAGGTGACTACACACGACAAGCACTGTGTAAGTGCATCCAACAAATCAGATGATTGTGCCACAATTTCCACCAGTTAAATAGAAATATTTTTTGGAGTCAAAGAAGGAAAAAGAGTGACTAAATATAAGTGCATTAAAGCCTTCTATAACCTCAAGGATATATCAAGACGTAGAAAAACGTATCCATGTGTGACGATGTCTCTACAGGTCTCTCTACAAAGTCGATCAAACAGCTGCAGCTGATGCAGAACGCTGTTGTTAGAGTCCACATTAGTCCAGCTCTCACATCTTTGCACTTTTACTTTTTGTCAAATGATGCTTCTGTTGGTTTATAAAGCACTGAATGGTTTAAGGCCAAAATACATTTTTGCTCAGCTGCTCTGTTACAAACTGTCCAGACCTGTCATATCATCTGGGGCAGGTCTGCTTACTACCTCCAGAGTCAAAACTGAACACGAAGAAGCAGCATGTATTTTTTATGCACCACATGTTTGGAGCTGTAATTATTATTTTCTATTACTACTATGTGATTTGACTTTATTTCACGCTCATCTTCCACTTTAAAATCCTTTTTTTCCATCTGTTTCTCGTATATCTCGTCGTATAGTCTTTTAGGACAAATGTAAAGCACTTCTGGATTACCTTGCTGTTGAAAGGTGCTATACAAATAAACTTGCCTTGCTAATACCTGTTAAATAAGGGAGTTAAAGCAAAGTGTCACTGTAGTTATATAATCATACTCTACTGTATAAGCTTCACTATGAACTGACCCAGCGATGTCATGTCTCGTGGTGTGTAATCCTGATTCACAACTCACAATCATGTGCTGCGTCATCTAAACTGATGAGTCATATTACACTGTCTTAGCGAAGTCACACTGTGATATTACATAATCCTATCTGCAGTTATAGTGGAGGAGTAGGACTTGGCTGAAGCCTCAAATGCAAATACATGAAACGACAGCAAACGAGCAAACATGTCCTCATGTCATCACCCGAATTTCATCAGTCTCTCTCCCCGAACCACTATGGATGCCTTGATAATCTGGCAGAGGCAGCTAAAATCACAGCTAGTGGTGCACATTAGCCGGCAGCCTGCTGTCACTTCACCATAAAAATGCAGCTGCACACAGCACACCGAGCAAACTGCAGCACACAAGAAAAAACAGACAGATGCAGCAAGAGCAACACAAGACTTGACGGACATGGGGATGGCGAGATGGGTAAGAGTTGCGGAGAGGCAACGGTGCAGCCTCCAGCTGTTTTTTTACCTGCAGAGGAGACATGACATTCCGTGCCCTCTAAAGCCGGCTACAGAACGCTGCTCTCCCTGCAGCTGCTGCAGACGCCCCTCACTAGCTATCACCAGCACAGCAAAGAGAAGAGCGGTGAGAAATCCCATAGGTTTGACAGGTACTGTTCCTAATTCGAGCAAGTGGAGACACTGAGCGAGAGGAGTGCGCGGGAGGGAGAGCCGGAGAGAGAAACAGGGAGAAGAGTGCGGGACAGAGAGAATGAGTGGAGGTGTAGTGAACGGCAGACAGAGCCGAAGGCAGCTAAGTGGGTGGTTATTACGAGGCTAGACGAAGAAGAGGATTCCTACTCATTTTCTGTTTTTATCAGAACATTCCTACTTCTTTTTTAGTAATAAATAAGGTATTCATTCAGTATTAATATCTGCGTGATGACAGAATCAGCAGCAGCATCTGTGCGAGCAGTAACTTCTTAACCACAGGAAAAATCACTAGATTGCATTCAATTTTTGAGCAAGAGTAAATGGATAAACCTTGATGTATTCCTGTATTTGCCTGCCTTTTGTTTTTTTGAAACGCGGCTGTGTCTACTTGATATGACTTGACACGCCTCTGCTCGTTGTATAGACCAATAAATTATCAAGCTCACTACCTTTGCCAAGAGCTAAGAGGTGTTAAAAATGATTTGGTATGCAATTTTGTCCTCAGTCCAACAATCTCTTTAAGTGCATGTGGTGATCTAAATCCAACACTTCAGGCATTTGATGTATGTAGATTTCAGGCACGGTATGAGATCACTGCTTGTTCTTGCGATATTTTGGCTGCGCTTTGGAAAGCAGAGCTAAATGGTAAACAAACATGGCACCACACCGGGAAGGTAAGACAACACGTTTACATGTCGTTTTCTATATGTTCTCTGACATTTATCCTAAAGATATGAGGCGGTCTTTGTGGAAAAAAAGCTTGTTTAGTGGACTAACTTTGCACTTGAAGGTTGCCCGTTCACTTACGTTTTAACAGGTCTGACGCTACTATGCGCCCCGGCTGTATCTAGGCTAACGGCTAACATGCTAACTATTATTTTTATGTCACTAGTCACTTGAAACAAATTTAGGACGATAGGAGACAGATTGAAATAAACCGAAATTTCCCTTTAACACCATTACTCCAAAAACAAACTAATCATAGACAGCAATAAGGGCTGTGTCTTTAGAGTACTGTCAGGTACCTAGAGACTGACTCCATTCTACGGCTGGGTATCAACAATGATTTCCTGCATCGAATAGATTCAAATAGTGATGTTTCAGTTACAATTTTTACAAGAAATTATTTTTCAAAAACAATAAAAGAAATAACACTGAATATTTTATAACTAAACATTGCTTCTAGAGCAGCAACAGTAATATTAAAACAGCAGAGTCACAATATAAACTTAATATCTCACTTTCAACAAATCTAAGAATTATCCTGGCTACATAAACGACATTAAATCATATTCCTGACATCACAATACGGAGTGAAGTTTAGAAAGAATAAAGAACACAGACATCAGTCAATATCAGTCCTCCTGTCCTCTCTGCTCCTCCCTGTGCTGCTGAGGAGAGTCACTGCCTGCAGGTCACATGACCACCAATAGGTATTAAGACAAGTGTCAAATGGAGCTAAACCGTTAGACATAAACAGTTGTTGTTTCAGCTTGTTAGCAGCAATTTGCTATTAGCTGGAAAACGCTCTGTGCTTGTTTATAACATGATATTAGCAGCGGTGGATGAAAGACTGCGAACAGAGCAGATTGAAATATCACTTTTCTACATGTTGCTGATCAGGTTTTACTGATAAACTTTTTCCTCGTGAAGGTTTTATTGCACTCAAAGTAACAAGCTTGGTTGTCATCAGCTCAAGTTATCTTCACTTCTCTGTCTCCACCGCAGCATCTTTACTCTGTGTTTGTGTGTTAGTGTTAAGGATAGACCAATACATCGGCCGGCCGATATATAGGGCTGATATTTGAGTTTTTTACTTGTATCGGCATCGACCGATACGCGCGTGGGTTCGCGGATTTATTTTTCCCTGGCATGATTTACAGACAGGCATCCACGGGCAGCTCTGTGTTGCCGGAAGATCCTGCAGTGCACATGCAGCGAATCCTACTGTGTACAGTAGTTGTTGTTTTATTTATGCTTCAGCTTAAATATTTGTTTATTTTATAAAGACATTACTAGAAGATTTAAGAGCACTGAACTCTTTTTTTTATTTAAATGTATAATAATAATAATAATAATAATAATATTCTACCTGTTCTACCTCAACTTTCCATCTTGTTTTAGTATTTTTTACTGTTCAATAAATGTTTCTTACTTTAAACTTGAGACCTGTAATATTTGTTATCACTGTGTCATTTTTTTGATGTAAATTGAGGGAGCAAAAGCAGTATCAGCCCCAAATATCGGCTCAAGAAAATCGGCAGTCCATAATCAGTCATCAGCTAAGGGTGATGGAAAAAAATCGGTATCGGCATCGGCCCTAAAAAATCCCTATCGGTCTATCCCTAGTTAGTGTGTGTGTAAAAGTGGCGCAGCGGCCAGGATGCACAGACAGCAGGAGGAGAGGCTGCTGCAGCATGATAACAAATTACACAAAATCATTAAAAAAGTAAGCTAACGGTTAGACATAAAAGAGCCGGTAATGTTGGAGCTTCTCAAGACTATGGTCGTTAATAACTTTGCACCCTGGCCGGTTTACTGCTGGCGAGATTAAAGGGGTTAAAGCTTCACACATCCCTGGGAAAAGCAAATATGAAAAGATCGATCTCGGATTTTATGAATCGATATCAGGCCATAAAAATGCAGATTAACTGAACCAGATGAATGGATTATGCTAACTTAGCCTTACTCCTTTCTTCCGATTTTTCACCTGCACAGAACTCTGAAAGTGACGTTGCAGGACAAGCAAGAAGAGAGACCCCTGCATGCTAATATGCTCTTCATACTGGGTTTCATAACTTGATTTCAGGCCGCTATGAAAAGTTCAGTAATGCAGACTGTTCTACTTTCCTGACACATCCTCGTCCTAATCTCCTGGTAGGCAAGAAATTGCTCACTGAGTTTGCTCCTGGCTGCATGACTTTACTACAGGGATAAAGTATGAAACTGCATATCACATCCCAGGCCACACACACGCACACACACACACACACGCACACGCACACGCACACGCACACGCACGCACACACACACACACACACACACACACGCACACACACCACCACCACATACACTCAAAACAGACAGACACACACACCTACACATCAGGTTGAATAACTGACTTAATGTCCAGGCCTGTCACTGGTGCTCCTGTGACAGCTGCAGCATATTCTGAGGTGATAAAGAGCTAATGATACAGTCTGTCTCTCTACTCAAACTCAGCTGTGGGCAAGTAGAGACACCAATTACTGTAGGTGTAGTTACACATGGGCACGATTACATGACTATAAAATAGGCAGATAACTGAGAAAGCACTGCTTGTATTGACAAAAGGCCCCTTTTTCCTCCATATGCCTTTAAAGTCAAGTGCACACACACCCGCTAGCTCTTCTGGAGTGCTCATTACAGTCACTGACATCACCTCATTAGTGCAGAATCAAGTTAGATATTTTGCGACCACAATGAAATGGACAGACACTGGCTATGGAGCAAAGCCTTTGTGCAACAGTATGAGGAGGAAGTGCCCCCTAGTGGAGAATGCATGCATGCAAGAAATACACTGATGTGACCAGAAATGAGGGAATACATTGACATTTTGAGTTGATTATTCACCCCAGCAGCGTGAATCTACACATGATCTGGCAGACAAGAGAGACACAAAAAGGTGTGCTGTGTTTGCCCTTAAATTCACTGAAATACAGCTGCAAACATATCAGTGATTTGACAGTTTACTGAGTGACCATGGTGAAATGTTTTCTTGATTTAAATCTTCTGATTTTGATTCATTTTTGAAGATTTTTCTTAACATTGGAAAAATCTCTTCTAAGAATGAGTCCCATACAGGGGCAACACACACAAACACACACATCGATATACACATATCACTCACCTCTCCTCTCGGATTAACGGAGTCAGGAAACGAGTGCTGTCGTCTTCATGGCTACTCTGCTGGCTGCTCTGCTGACTGCTCTGCTGGCTGCTGCATGGCACATGAAACAGAAGTGAGGCTGTTAATCATTACAGCATGCTTCTATTAAACTGAAATTTAAATGTAATGGTGTATACATATTTCATCTTGTGTCACCTAAGAAAACGTTATTATGAGTACTCTCATGAATCAAGGTTTTTCCTAATTTATTAGTGACTATGTAAACTGTCATGGTACATTTTCCCCTGCAAACAACCTGCAAACAAGAGGCTCAAGGCAAAAAACAGTAAAACAAAGCATGGTATACACAGTCCCTATTGTATAAACTTTGTTGTTTTTTTTTGACATAACATCTATTTTTAGTTGGTTTGCACCACATTATTGAGGCTCCTACAGGGCCAAAATATTGATTTCTGTCATGGCTACTGGGCCATCAGCTGTCCAAGACTCTACAAATAAGTGTCAGACATATGTGGCAGCTGTCAGACATACAGTACATAACAACTCAGCCAGACTGGATGAAAGTCCTGTCATGTACATGCACATATCCACTGATAACACTAGAGGGGGCTATATGACACAAGCTATGAGAAAGATAAGGCTTCAGATAATAAGTAAGAGGGTTACAGATGTGTTAATGGATATATTTACAATGAAAATCATTAACACATAAAGAGCTAGAGGTCTGTGACTGTGACTTCCTTAAAAAAAATGTGCAGAAGTTAAAATTAGGATATTTGTTTCTTGTTACTTTCCCCCTTCATTCACAAGTCAAAGTTCAAGTTGCACACGTGCATGATATCACATAGGACTGTCACTTCAGCTTTAAGATGCATGAGATATTTTAAGAATCTGCTGACATTCCTTTCACTCTTTGACATTTACAAATAAAGCCGCTCTGCTGAGAAAGAGCTTCATTAATTCACACGTCTAATCCAATTCCAACAGTAGCAATGCTCTGGAGTGTTTGAAAGGGCAGATTCTGAGAGTTGTGATACTTTTGGTATACTGTAGGGCAGTGGTTCTCAAATGGTGTGCTGTGGCACACTGGTGTGCTGTGATGCAAATCCAGGTGTGCCATGGGATTCTGTGATAACCACACATTTTTATTGCAATATTCAACTGGGCTTATACAAAAAGTTCTGTATGAATTTTTAATCGACTGACTGCAAACTCTACCTAATGTAATTTAATTTAAAAAACTTTCACGGGAACCTATGTGTAGGCATTCGCATGTGGGAATTATAGGTGTGTGACACATCACATTATCTTACATCATTTCCTGTGTAAATTGATGTGTTATTGGTGCTTTGATGTAATTAAAAAAAAAAATTAATTCTTGAGTCACTTTGCTAATAAATATTTCATGGGTAATAGTTGGTTGTCAGTTGTTATTTGATAGTGGTAAATAAATACAAACATTTATGTCATGATGAGAGTGATGACACTTTATAGAGGCTATGCTGCAGTGGTGGCTGCTGGTCTTTCAAACAGGGGAAGCTCACTTTAAGTTTGATGTCTCTACTCCGGACGGCACTCTGTCAGAAGACTCCACTCCAAAGTATCCGCATGGGACTGAGCTCGAAATGCGACGATGTAGGTGTGTATTTCCAAAGCGCTGTCAATCACAAAGGGGTTCAGACTTTTAGACAATTCCTCCAATAATCATGCATACACCGAGCTCCATGAGGTCCCAGGGAAGCTGAGCCTCCCTGGTAGTGACGATTTTGTCACATTTACCCAATAACCATCTCGCTTTGCTGCGTGAAAAAAATCTGCTCAGCGCTGTCTCATAGGAATGCATGGAGGCTCCGTGTCCACCGTGCTGACATGAGAATGTATGACAGGGAGGTCGCGTTTGAAAACTGGTGATAAACAGCTGATGTTTGAATATCATAGTCATGATGGTAAACGCATCCTAGCGCATGTTTAATGCAATGTAAATTCTTATTTTAAAGTACATTCAATAGTGCATACTTGACCATTTCTTCTGTGAAATTTTAGGGGAAGTTCAGCCTCCCTTGTTGTCTCACTTGCACTGCATCGGCGTATTTGCTGAGGAAACACAGGGCCCGGAGCCGTCGGGCCTTCTGGGTCCACAGAGTCCTGCAAACCCGGCAACTCCACGGTGAATTTCACCGGCTCGTACAGCTCCGGGAGAGCCCAGACCTCCATACCCGAATCCCGGTCTGCAATTGGCTGCTGCTTCGGCAGTGGCGCTGCTCATTTGCATAAAGTTCAGCTTCTCTCAACTTCTACTTGACGCTCTGGTCGCTGGCATCACGCCGCTCGCTGCAGCCGACGCCCCTGACGCCCTTCGTAGCAAGCGTACATTGAAAATGAATGGCTGCCAGCCGCTTATGACGCTTTTGGTGTGAATGCACAGTCAGAGCAATCGCCCCTGCTATGCTGCATAGATATAAATACAGGTGTGCTGCGAGATTTTGGCTTTCTCTTCGGTGTGCCTTGGGCCTGCTGTAGATGCACTCTGAAAACAGTTTTTAAATCTCTTTAGTAGACACTACCCAATCATTTAACTTTGCATCTAAAAATGTGATATTTCCTCAAAAGAAGTGACAAAATTTACCCTAAATGTATTGATCATTACTCTTTAAACTTGATAAGATCTTTAATTTTTCATCATAGCATCGCCTTGGCAGAGTTCCTTCAGGGTTTGGCAGTGTGCCTTTAAGTAAAAATCAACTTTTAAGTCTTTTATATTATAAATGAGTAGTGTAGAGAGAAATATAACTGCATTGAAGGTTGATAATATTCATGAATACAGACTTTAAAGGTCAGAATTCAAATGCAGCATATAGTGCTATTGGTGTATTTGAGCAGCTGTGACTATACATATTAAACTGATACTGTATGCTGACAGTACAGAACTAAGATCAGTAGATTCATTCAGAAACTGCCAACTTTTTGCCACCACTATCAGCCTACGTTGTGGAGTATCACTTGAGCTCCTCAGTGTCTGCAAGCTGTTCTCTCAGAGGGACGACATATGCGCTGTAAAAGCACATGTGTTTGTCCAGGTATATGCAGGTGTTTCTGCATGTATCCTCCTCTAGCGCATGTTCTTTTGAAAACACGAGGGCAGAAAGTTGACATGGCATGGGCCCCTGCTGAAATATTTATTACTCATACACAATTGATGGAATATGTGCTTTCAACATGACAGCAAGGAGGCGTAACAAAACACTGTCAATTTTAAGGCAGAGTTACAAAGAAAATGATCTACAGTAGGTTATACTGTAAAACTGCACAAAATGCATGTAATAATGCATTCATTTGTTTTTTCACTGACACAGAGGCTTATTTTATATTGCGTATGAACAGCTTTTTAATGTGATGGATGGTATCTTGCCACTCACTATGGATGAGTATGGAGCAGATGACAGTAATTCAAACAATTTCTTGTCTTCCTACTGTATGTCGCTTTGTGCGAAGTTGTGTGTTTGAAATATTTAAATGCTCGGACGAGGTGGAAGCAGTGAAGCCGGTTGAAAGACACTGCACCACCTCCTCAAAATAGCCCTGCTGTTATCAGCCTGCAGAGCAGCAGATTCTACAGTATGTGTCTGCAAACTTCCTCTGTTCCTACTGTAGGCTCACAAGAATCCTACACAGACAGACACACATACATAAAGGCAGAGTATGCTTACATGCACACACACTTACGGTCCACAGATCCTATGCATCACAGAACGTAAGACAGAAAAAAGGATAAGATGACGAAATGAAGACAGAGTGGCAAATCAACTGTGATGACTATGAGCTCTTGGCAAAGAAGGATTTACTGGCCAGACACAAAGCATCACTCTGGGATTGCAGCAGAAATACTGAGATATTCTCATAATTTTACACCTCAAGACAAAAACTTAATTGATTCAAAGCAGTTGGAGAGGAAAATCACATCATAGTCAATATCGATTAAGGAGAGCTAAAGCTGAACTTTAATTAAATTATCAGTTATATCATAAAAGGGACCTATTATGCTTTTTCTAGATTTTTTCCCCATATATTACATATCTTATCTGAACACTCAGCTGTTTCCAGCATTTGTTTTTCAACTTTCCAGACAAGTTGACATCAGTTTGTGAAGATTTCTTTATACCATCATCTGCTTCAGACGTGTTACTGCGAGTGTGTACATTTCATACACTGTTCAGGGGCGTAAATATAGACAGTACAGGTAGTGTGATTGCACTGGGGCCCCTGGGGTGGAGGGGCCCGTAGAGAAAGCAGGCCCTTGCCAGTGATTCAGATTATCACCTTAGGAATACACCTGTGTTTAAAGATAAATGATAAAAAAAAAATTAAAAAACCATTTGCTATATATGTCCCCCAAAAGGCAAACCCATCTGCATCACAGTTTTCTTTTTTCTTTTGATTTCTTGAAATAGTTAGTAGCTATCTTAAATAAAATCATGTTTTTTTTATATAAGCTAAAAAAATATGTAAATATACTATAAAAACACTTTAATTAAATCATTAATTTCTTACTTTCTCTGATATTTTTTGTCAAATATGCAGTGATGATTGCTGGGTAATATGTATGCTGATATTGTCCAATGTCAAGTCTCTGTGTCAAGACGATACAAGCACAACAGCGTGCACTGGAGCCCATCAAAACAGTGTGCACAGGGGCCAGTTCTAACTTCCTCACGCCACTGACACTGCTATACGTAGCTGCATGCTAACATCAGGGAAATCTGTAATCTTTGTTGCCAATGTTGTCAATTTCTTCCAGAATCCCAAACATATTCCAGCTGGAACATGTCCACATTTGGTTTAAAAGTCTTATTGGTGATTTTTCACAGCAGAAAGTGCAGCTGAGACTGAGACAGAAGACCCTAAAACACTCACCAATCAGAGCAGACTGCTCTTTTTTCGGGGTGGGGTGGGGGGCTTAAAGACACAACCACTAAACTGGAGCCTTCACAGACAGACCGTGATTACAGGTGCCTTCATGCAGACAGTATAACAACAGTATAAGACAATTCCATGTAAAAGTTTGGAATCTACTTCCACAATAGTTACATATT